CAGATGAGCAGCTTGGTACCACGCTCTACCCAAGCTGTGCAGCACCTGCCCCTGCCCCAGCCCCACTCCCTCCCTCACCGTGGGGACTCTGATTTGCACCCCCACACCCCTTCCCACCCTCTTGCCCCTTCCCCCACAACAGGCTTACCAACCAGATGCCACTCTCCAACCTGCCCAGCTGCATATTGGTGTTGGAGCGGTATCAGCCAATACGGCTTGTTAAAAATCGGCTATCGATATTGGCCCAAAAATTCTCTATTGATGCACCCCTACCGGGTAGTCAAAGTCCTGCTCCTAAGAGCCTGCAGCAGCTGAGACAACATGCCATGGCCCACGCTCCAACCCTTCTGTGCTGATATAGGAGGAGGGGACCAAGCATGTCAGGGTCTTTGCCCAGTGAGGGAGTTTCACTTCCTAGGCTGGATAAAAGCGTGAAGCAGCCACTCGCTGGGAACAAGAAAATTAACTCACTGAATGTGGAACCCAGTGCCTCCTGCACTACTCTCCGGATGGAAGAAAGCTCTTTACAGGCAAAGAAGCACCAGTCTGAGCTGGGTGGTCAATACAAGTCAGCTAATAACAGAGGTTAGGATAGCCTCATGCCTGTTTCAGCCATACTTGCTGATGGGCAGAAGACAACTTGCAGTCACCCAGATAAGCCCTGTCATCATGGGTCAAAACCTTTACAAGGAATCCCAGGCTTGCTAAGTGCTGCAGCCCAAGCAGCCATATATAGGGCCCAAAAAGGGCCCTGGCTCATCCCAAGCAAATAAAAGGCACTCACCTCCTGGCCACGAGGGTAGATCTGCAACTCCTCAATGGTGAAGTGTAGCCAGACTGGTGAGGGCTGTCGTAAAATCATACGTATTGCCATGACCTCATCAACATCACAAAGCATCTGCCAGAGACACAACGGAAGTTGAAAATGTATCACTTTACCTGCGAGAAGCCCAATGGACACTACAGTCAGGTCCTTCAACTGAACTTTGGCACTTATAAGGCAGGACACAGCAAGTGTTCAGCAGGACACTACAATGCTACATAGCAATCCAGGGCAGGAAAGAAGTGTCAGGTTTGAGTAAAGAAAGCAGGGAGACAGATGGGAGTTGCCCACACTGAAAATCAGTCAAAGGATTATGTTAGCAGACCCCCTCTTAAGCAAAGCAATGGATCTTTAGTTACAAGCACCCAGGGTTATGTGTTCACACTGCAACAGAAAAACATCAACTGCAGTAGCCCAGTCCCACCAGTCCACAGATCCCTACAGACCTCAACAGGAAGCATGGTTCCTATGAAGTCACCAGGAGCACTGCTTGGGCCATTCTCAGAGGTCTGTCATCTAAGAAGTGAGTGGGTTTGCTCAATGTATGGTAGAGGTGGGCTGGCCACAGCACTGGAACAGCAAGAGCCCTGCAGGGCAGCTGTTTCTTTGTCAGTTCAGGGCTCAGAAAGGGAAGGGAGTCAACTGTCCAGGCAGCCTATGTAAAAGTATGGTAGGAACAGAGCATGCTGGATAAGAGACATGCCTTGGCTCTGCAGAGAATCCAGCCCCACCCTTCACCCTGCCCCATGGGGCTGAGCATCCTGACCTGGTGCCTGAAGACAGAGAAGTAATCTTGAGAACCCTCCTCTGTGTGCGGGTTGGGCATGAGGCAGTAATTCCGCAAGCAAGTGACCCACTTCCTGGGGCCCTCACCAGCCACGTCTGCAGGGCTGCGACGCTGCACCCGGATGGTCAGGAAAGCCGTGTAGAAATTTTTAAAGACAATCTCCTGCAACTGGGATGACACCACCAGCTGGTCACAGACAGTGAGGCACATGGGAAGAGCTTCCGCTCCCTGGGACTTGCACTTATGCCTTTCAGAGACCCTCCCACGGCAGGGAAACAGCAGTCTGCTGGGCCTCGCTCTGGCCTCCACATTGCAATGCAACCTGACTTAGCTCAGCACCAAGGCTGTGGGAGCAGCCCAGCAAACAGACACAGGGATGCGTAGGAAGAGCAGGCTGTACAGACTGGACCAGGAGCATCCCATGGTGAGGCAGACTGCTTTCCACTTTGATAATAGCAGCCAGGAAGAACACGGAGAGCTGAGGGGCCCCCAGAGCCAGCCGTCCGCAGAGAATGGGCTTGTGCTCAGGGGGCACCGGCTGTGGTGGGAGCAGGGCTGTATGCCCCCAGCAGCTGGGAGGCCATTTCCCTCAGCCCCGCAGGGTGAAGAGCTCAGCCTCGGCCGGGCCCTGCAAAGCCTCCCGGGGGAGTCCTGCACCTCCCCAGCAGCCTCCTGAAGCCCCGGCTCTGCCCTTCACTGCTCCGCGCCCGGTGTCTGCCTCGCTCGGCACGGCCGGCGCCGCGCCCGCCAAACGGGGCGGGTTTCCGCAGAAAAGGCCCCTCCCCAGGCCGCGGCCGGCGGAGCGCAGCAGCCTGGCGGCAGAGACGGTCGGAGCTGGCCCCGCCGCCCCCTCCGTCTCGCCCCGGCCCCAAC